ATTTAAAGTGCAAGTCAAATTGTGATACTCTATTGTTGTTAGATGAGTAGATTGAGACTCACAGCAACGCCATCTGACTGTCCCATAGGGTTTTTTGTTGTTTTGTTTATCTTTTCTTTACTTATTTGATAAGACTTTTTATTGTGCTTATCAAATAGTGCCACACTGAAACTTCAGGAAAGATTTAACCCTAATATCTTGAAAAAAGGACATAAATATTGTTTTGGGTAGGAGGGAGGAGTTTTACTCTACGGTTGTTGTTAAGTACCGTCGAGTCTGTTCTGACCCATAGCTACCCTGTACAGGGTTTCTGAGGCTGTAAATCTTTATGGGAGCAGAAAGCCTCATCTTTTTCCCGCCGAGCAGCTGGTAATTTCAAACTGCTGACCTTGTGGGTTCACAGCCTGATTCATAACCACTACACTACCAGAGCCGCTTTGACTGTACAGAAAGGAGGTCAAATTCAAAGGATGAGCAGGATACATACCACAGGCAGAGATCCTGCAGAAGTAACAAAAAGTGCCGTGCAAGCAACAACACTGACCTTACCAAAACAGAGGATGTATGGTGAGTTGTTCTTCCGGTTTGGCTGGAAGGTGCAGTCTGAGAAGAGAGATAAGACTGTAAAGATAGGGGTGAGGTTGTATATCGGAGTAAGCAGAACATGCTAGAGGTTGGCATGGTATTAACGTGGGAATAAAGGGTTTCTGAGGAATGGCTGGTGAGCTTAAACCACGAATCTTGCAGTTCAAATGACTTTGCAGTCCAGCCCACTTACCTCCAGCGCTACACCAGGAATCCGGAGTAAAACTCTTAAAACTCTGTTAACGCAAAATAAAAGGGAATTATTGAAAGTGTGTTAGACATTTGAATGAAGAGTCAGGGAGAACTCAACAAGTGAAGCCACGAATTTGATGAGTGGTAGATGCCGTCTCACTGTTACAGAGCAGATACAGGGACTAGTAGGGTACAGCTACCAGTGATGAAACTTTGCTAGCGTAGTGGGTACAAGTGGGGCTGCTAACCTCAAGATCAGCAGTTTGAAACTACCAGCCATTCCATGGGAGAAAGATGAGCCTTTCTGTTCCCGTAATAGTTAGAACAGACTCCATGGTACATTACTACCACTAGTGGTGGATTACTGATCAGGTGGAGGGTGGAACTTAGCAAGGGGTGGGGGTTCATAAGTTTGTTGTTGTTAAGTGCCGTCAAGTCAGTTCTGACTTATAGCAACCCCGTATAGGGTTTCCAAGAAACAATTGGTGGATTTGAACCGCTGACTTTGTGCTTAACAGTCCAGTGTTTATCCAATAGTGCCATACCAGGACTGGTTATGATGTTACAGCTGGCTTTCAGGGATAGGATAGAGAACAATTCCAGAAGTTCTACCTGGGAAGGGATTTTTACTTATCTGAGGGTGATTACAAAGCACATGTTCTGACACCACTTCCGAAGAGCAAAGATGTCAGCTTAAGGACTAAGGTGTGCCTGACCCAAGCCATGGTATTTTCAATAACCTCAAATGCATGTGAAAGCTGGACAGTGAGTAAGGAAACCTATAGAAGAACTGATGCTTTTGAGTTATGGTGTTGGAGGAGAATATTGAAAGTGCTATGGGCTGCCAAAAGAACACAGATCTGTGTTGGAAGAAGTGCAGCCAGAGTGCTCCTTGGAGGCTAGGTTGGCCAAACTTCGTCTCTCATACTTCAGACATATTGTCAGGAGGGACCAGTTGCTGGAGAAGGATATCATGTTTGGTTAAGATGGAGGGTCAGAGAGAAAGAGGAAGACCCCCAGCGAGATGGGTTGGCAAAGTGGCAGCATCGATGGGCTCAAGTGTGGCAATAATAGTGAGGTTGGCCCAAGATCAGGCAATGTTTCATTCTGCTGTGTATAAGGTCACTATGAGTTGGTACCAACTCGATGGCACCTAACAAATATAATGAATACCATGGAAAAAATGTAACCAACTTATCCAGCTGGTAAATAAAGCACTAAAAATCTAAGTGGCTTCTATGCTATCCTTCCAAATAATTAACTTGTCAAGTCATATATGTTTCTGGTCTTTATTTATAAAAGATAAATCTCTTTTTCTCTCCCTAAAGCCTTAAGCCCTCCTTGGGCGGCTCAGTACTGGGATCTGGTTCTCTGATGTGAAATACTCTTAAAAAATGAATTGTTGTTAAGTGCAGCCAGCTGGTTCTGACTCACAGCAACCCTGCATAGGGTTTCTGAGGAGCAGCTGGTGGATTTGAACTGTTGACCTTTCAGTTAGTGGTAGTCCAATTCTTACCCTATAGCACCACACCAGAACTCCAGGAAATGAATTGGAATCCATAAACCGATAAGAAAAAAATTTATGAGAAGGAAAAGCGTTTCCCTTGCCTACTATTGTAAAATGGATACTTGAGTGGGACAGAAATGAATGTTGGGAAATATGATTACAGAAAGCTTGTAAGCCTGCCTTCAGCCTATGACTGATTGGAATACCTAAAAGGGGTTGTAGAACTTGTTCAGTGAAATAGGAAGCATATGGGACCTTAGGTGGAATCCTAAGCCCCATCCAGAACCTTCTGAGGTGGGACCTTCCCACTTGAAAGGACATGCAGACTAGCTCAGAGTAGCTAGAGGTACAAAGGATACTTCCTGAAAGAGACCAGCAGGAAAAAACAAAACCAAAAATGACAGTCTGTTTGGCTATTACAAGAATAAGCAAGCTGTTTGCTGGGGAGCCATCAAGGCAAGCAATCAAGTCTCTTCAAGACAAACCCCTCTCCAAGACTGAAGCGCAAAGGGAACACATGAGCAGGCATGTAATCTTTTTTTTTTTCAGGCATGTAATCTTACTGGTGACTGGGTTGGTCTATATGTGAGCAGAAGTGGGAGAAAGTCAATAATGAAGATATGGGCTGAGTTTGACCATGTTCCATAGACTCCTGTCAACCTTGAGATGAGAAAGAGAAGGAAGGGCTGGTCTGAAGTGTGGGGAGACTTGGGAATTCCTGAGCCTGGACAATGACCTAGCCATGGAAAGCTAGAGATGAGAGTGAAGTGTCCAGCTGATATGAAGTGGGGAGAGACATACAAGAACGCCCAAACTTGCAGACAGTACCCATTTGACCTAGCTTCTATGGCTTGATTAACAGAGCTCAACTAGAGGAAGACAAGAAATTTTTATACAGGATGCAAGAGTAACTTGCTACAATTTGATGAACTATACTATGGATGTAGTAGCTTGGAATAGTAACCAAGAGGGAAAGAGTTTTCACCTCAAGGATCAGGCCTGTCCACTTTATA